GAAGAACGTGTTCAGGTCTTTGGTGTTGTTGGGGACAACACGAGTATTTCAAGCAGTGTTCAGTTGATGTGCAGTATTATTCACAGCACGCTGTCCGTCCTTACAGGACGACCGAGAGTCGTCTCAAACTAGCAGCTGTTGCTACTTAATCTGTGAGATGTGAAGTCTGACGCAGATTACTGATGATGGTCTGCGACAGCATCCCGGCAGATTCAGATTATTGAGAGAGACCTTGGACTAACGCGTAGTGAAACATGGCTGACCTGTTGCAAAGGACTCCGCACGACCTCTGGCCACCATGTTGGATTTCTTCAGCTCTCGGGTACCAGCTGATGTTCCTCACAGAAACGTTTACCTCGGTTTGTGTGCAGTGTTTGAATGGAGTAGTCACAGGTTACAGTTGTTTCTTTGGTTTCTGACTGAGCAGCTGCATAACTGCACTCAGCTCACTGAAAAGTGTTTGTTTGCTGATGCACATGAACGGCTGCTTTTTAAAAATGATTCACACATTGCAGCTTGACATCAGCATTTAGCTTAAAGCACCGCTGTGTTCAAGTAAAAGGCACGTGTGAACGTACGAGCAAGAGAAGCGATGGTGGCAGTCAAGACCAAAAATACAGCTTCTCTCTAAAGAGCTTCAGCACTTCATCAGCTAATCTGTGCAAGTCGGTCACAGTGGTCTGCTGTTTAATGAGCCCCCCAGCCAAGAAAATCAGCTGTAAGCTGCACACGGGACAGTTTTTGGTCCATAAAGAGAGCAGCACCGAATCATGACAGAGGTGTTCAAACCATGTCATGCATGTCGAACACAGTGGGAAGCAAAACGATCCAAAAACATGAGTTTAGCATGTGAAAGCACTTTGAACGGTCAGACTACAGCAGAGAAAGTTCACATGATGACCCTGGAAAAGTCAGTGTTTCCTCTTATTCCCAGTTTTAGAGCTTTCTGTTTCCCCTCTCACTAATTCAGCTGTTTTCTCACACGTGCATCTTCTAGCCGACTAACAATCAAAGTGTGTTATGTTGTTATTGACACGGGGATAGAAGCTTCAGTGTTCAAATCCACAGATTGTGGCTGATACACTCGTAAGTTTCTCAAATTTGCTTAAATATGAAGGTGGGAGCTGTTACAGTCGCGCTGCAGTGACCCGCTGACTCACAAAGGCTGTACGATACAGTCAACTTTCATTACAGTGTTACTGAACGAATCCTGAGCAAGTATCGGTACTGAGTCGGCTGATGAAGCTCCGTGTGGCTCCAATAAGCCCTGCATCGTCTATAGTGTTTGTGCGTTTTTTTTGTTTGTTTGTTTGTTGTGCGTTCTGGTTGTGTCCAAGTAATCCAGACCTGCCTGTCACTACTACAGAATGATCCAGTGACAAACAGTCCACAGAGAGCGATCCAAGATCCTGCTGTGAGCTGGCACTATGTGTATAAAGACTGAGCTGGATGGGAGACGACGTTTGAAATTGGATGTAGCGAAACGAAACCTGAAATCTATTTTTGCTCCGGCTCCTGGTCCGATCTGCTTCAGCTGCAAAGCCGAAGTCTAAATGACAAAATAAGCTCCCGTCTCTCTTTTTGCAGATGCATTTATACATCTTTGTATTTGAACTTTGTTCTTTTCAACATCACTTTTTAGATTTTCAAGTCATTCTTTATTCTAAGGATTTGTTTGTTTTCTGTCGCAGTTAAAAAAAAAAATATTGACTATGAAATAAATGACACAATATTTGCTAGGGTTTAAGTAATAATGACTTATTGTACATATGCATTTTTTCCTCCGTTACTGAAAAAAGAAATTAAATGGTTGTACATTGTGTAGAAAAGCAAACAAAAAGCCATGAATATTGTGAAGCTTGTCATTTCGTTTTGTGATCACTGTGTATTATTGTGTAACAAATGTGCAAAATGTTTGGGATTCTTTTTCTTTCGCCCGTTCTGCTTCTTGAAGCGGCCTCGCTGGTTGCATTTGCTGTTATTTTGAACTAGTTAGCGTTTGCAGGAAAGTGCTCACTGGTTCAGCTCAGAATGGTCTCAATACTTTGATGCATTAAACTTTAGATACCTTCAAATTACTTGTTGATGGAAACACTCTGATTGGTCGGACTCGGTGGGCCTAGCCCTCGCTGTCAGAACGCCGTCACGTTGGCGAAACCACGATTACTGTTCAGCGGTTTGTTACAGTCAGGCAGGACGCGGATATACACGAACCACTAAGACGCAGATTCTTCCAACTGTAGAAACTTTTTGTTTGTTTAGCTTCTTCGCCCTGAATCAGTGACCACTTTTTCTGCCGACACCAGCATACAACACGTATGATACTGTACTGTTTGGCTTTATCTTCTATTAATTGTTGTTGCTAATGCAGGGAATGATTTAACTGCAAAATCATTGTTTCTTTTTTGCATAGTGTTGACAATTTTAAATATCTGGGAAGTAGGAACGAATGATAAAACGGACCAGAGACTAATCAGACTAATTTTTGTTTTACTTGCATCAATCCTGACCTTTTGCACATACTTGATATTTAACGGTCTTCAAAAAAAAACGTCAAGAAAATAATGCTGTTTGAATACTGCCAGTTGATTGACAATTATGCATTGATTGAAAAAAAAATAAGCTAATTTTGGAGGAAATAACTTTGTAATATTTATCTCTTGCAAGCTATGTTTAATAAAGGTTGAAACAATTTGCTTCAAAGTGTCAACGTCATTCAGCTTTCTTCTTCTTCTTCTTCTTCTGCGACGACGCTCTGGGCAGCGTTTTCAGCCGATCTGTCTCTCGGGACTCTTTGTGGACACGCCCCTGTTGGGTTAATGTGATCTGTACATGCGTTAATTAGACTTTGATATATGCTTGCTGAGAAATTTCTGGTAAGCTTTTTCAGGGTTGGGGTCAAGAGTAACTTGTATGTGTAAAGTCACCATGGTTGAGGGTGTTTTTGCCTTGTTTGATGAACCTTTGATGAATGAGTCTCATCACAGCGCACCGTTTTGGTTTTTTAGCTGGACTTGGACAAAAGGTTTCTGTCGTCCAACCCGACCCCGTCGTCCAGCGACTGCTGTCACGTGTAGTGCACAGCCAGTACCGACCAGAACCTGCAGCTCCTTCATTGTTACTGTAGGTCTCTTGGCAGCATCCCCGACCACTTTTCCTCTGGTCTTTTCATTAATTTTGGGGGGCGGGGCATCAAGTTCAGTATCCCCTCAAAAACAGTCTCCATCTACCCCAACAACATACCCTGGATCACCAAGGAGCTCAAGGAAATCCTTAATTTAAAAAGAAAAAAGAGGATTTTCTTTTCCAGCTCTGCTCTGGATAAAAAGGAGGTCAACGGGGAGGTCAAGAGGCCCGTAAAAACTGCTAAACTGGATAAAAACACTGTTTTCAAAATTCACCACAGGGGACCTCTGCTCAGCCTGGCAGGGCCTCAAAACCATGGCCTCTGTGAATACTGTGGTCACCACCTCCAGAACCATCCAGGTTCTTATTCTTGGCCTGTTTATGCCCTTATCTTTAACCTCTGCTCCGTTGTACCTTAATTGCCTCTTGGGGATAAATAAATAAAGTCTCTGATTCTGATTCTTTAGATCAGCTGTGTTGGATCAAGCACACCGGCCCTCGAGGCCTGGAGATCCCCACCCCTGGATTAGGGGGTCATTCTTAAACCAGCGTTTATATCATGTACACAACGCAGTCCTCTCCACTAGGTGGCAGCCTGGAGCAACAATCCATTTCCCGGGTCAGCTGAAATGTGACCTGTGTGGAAACAGTTTCCATCTGGAGAGCTTGAAAGAGACTCCAGGAAAAGTAGAAGTAGACTGATCAGGACTCAATCTGAACCCAGCTCTCTTCATTCCAGCACAGACGAATGTGTTTTTACTCTAACATGTTTCATGATGTCATTTCCTGATTTTTCAGTGTTGATTAAACAGCCATCCTCTGAGCTGCTTTGAATGAACAGGTACATGCAGGGATCAGGGCTGGTGGACACATGCACACACACACACACACACACACACGTTATTTGGAGCAGCTGTTACAGTATTGTTTCTGCGCTGTTACAAACTTTAACAAAGTTACAAACTTTAACAAAGTTTGTAACTTTGTTAAAGTTTGTAACTTTGTAACAAACTTTGTAACTTTGTTACAAAGTTTGTTACAAAGTTACAAAGCAGAGTAGAATAGAAATGTTTTTGCCTGAATATTAAATATTATTGTAGCATTGATCCTAAAAGTCGCTCTGTGGGTTTTATGGCTCTTTCAGTCATGAGACCACTGATAACAATCAGCTCCCAGCCCAGAGCAGTATTTACTGAGCGCTCGCTAACAGTCTTATCTGCTTCCTTTGAACGTATCAGAAGGTTCCTTTAACGGTGCTGCACAGTTTGAATAGACTTTTCTAAAAATAAGGCTGTCAGACATGTGTTTACTTCAGGATATTTGCAGAAATGCTCACACAGAACCGTTGGACGGCTGGTGATAAACACGACCTCAGAAACATGTTTATCTGTTTCTGCCATCACACTGAACTCGCTCCGTTACCAGTTAGACGAGCTGATGAAGTCTTTCAGGCTTTGTGCACATGCAGGAAAACAACGAGCTGCATCTCACTCCCCTTTTGTCTAGACCGCGAACAGTCATTACATAACACAACCACAATCATGTGACCTGTAAAAAAGCAGCTGCACTGATAGAGTACATGATGTGACGGTGGGCGGGGCCGGCTTTGTGTGGAACATGACGCTCTCGGAGTGTTTACATATAGATCTGCCTGAAGGACGGGAACGCGGTAGCTGGACGACCTCGAGTGTGTAACTATGGTGCGGTGTGACCTTCCCAAGTGCTTCGAACCACACAGTGAAACAGCAACATCGCTCATCTCCATTTGCTCTAATGTGTTTGTCTGTTATCATCTCTGTGCTGAATGGACTGAACTCTAACTGCTGTCACACTTTAACAACCTTCAAACGTCAGCGAGTCATTTCCTTATTGTCAACCTCGTTTAGCCTGAACTTTGATTTAATGTGGAGTCGATACGCAGCCTTCCTCCATCACTGTAATATACTCTAGAATAAAGAGTTCAGCCACATCTATCGTATGCATATGTATTCATGAATTAATCCTAATATTTGCCTCACTTTTTTAATTTTAACGTAAACTGTCGTGGACTCCTCACAAGGCAAACACATCTCCATGTAAGACACACAGAGTGGACGAGACTGAACAACACAACTTTATTTGTACAGCACATTTAAAAGAGCAGCGGTTCACCAAAGACTTTACAATAAAACAGGAAAATTAAGACAATAAATAAAAGACTATTAACAAAGTACCACATATGTCATCAGGTTCAGGGCACTAATTATACAACAATAAAAGGGAATATAAGAACAAAGTTACATAGCTAAAAGATAAAGTACATAAATAAGAAATTGAACCAAATATAAAACTCGATGGAAAAGTTATGTTGAATAAATGAGTTTTTAAACAGGATTTAAAAGATAAAACGGAGTCTGACACACGGATAGCGATGGGAAGGTTGTTCCACAGATTCAAAAGCACGGTCACCCCTAGATTTAAGTCCAGATCCAGGCTGAGCCAGGAGTAACTGGGCTGAAGACTTGAGGGCTCGCCCAGGGACATGTAGAGAAGATCTGCAAGATAACGAGGGGCTAAATTATTTATTTTAAAGGTGAGCAACAATATTTTAAATTCAATGCGATACTTTATGGGTAACCAATGCAAATCAATAAGAACTGGGGTGATAGAGGCTTGAACAGCCAGCAGGGCTGATAATAAACCGCAGAGACCAAACATTAACATTGATAATAACTCCAGGGGCATCCATCTGTTGTCTGGTTCTCCAGCCAATGAAAGGGCTTACCTGCTCTACACCTGTGTGCACGCTCTCAGTCACACTTCACCTTACTTTGGTCACTGCTAACGTCCTCTCTCCTGCCCTTCAGTAAACCTTTTCAAGCTGCTCACAGTTGTTTGAATGTGCTTGAAGTCCAAACAAAGGTTCGCAGACCAAAGTCTGTTTATTCTGGAAAACATTGCTCAGCAGAGAAATGATCAAATCTGTTCTCGCACACATGAAACGTGCTGATCGGAGCTGAAGAGCGTCTGCCCAGAACACACGAAGGTTACGATCCCGCGGTCGGTTTGCTGAATGTGCAGCTGCACATTCAGAGTTCATATCTTCCTCACGCTCCCCAAAAACACAAGAGTTCATGTCTGTGCGGCTTCATCTGCATTTTCAAAATATCTGCTGATTCATGTCCTGCTTGTTGTTTGTCAGCGTGAGCGTGCACGCAGCAGGCAGACGGCTGATTAAGGTGGATGTGAAGGTGAAGAGTGTCTGTGCACATTTCTGTTCCACAGTGAGTGAAAAGCTGCAAACGCTACAACTAATGATCAAAACGCTCAACAAGGGCAACTGTCATTGGTTCAGTTTCCAGCTTTTCTTCTTTCTCACTGTTTCTTTAGAACTTGCACAAATACAGTAGCTGTTGTAATGGCGATGACCTTGCTCACTGTTATCACTGCTGGGCCCTCTGTGTTGTCTTCCTTTGGGGACCCTGACTTCCTCCCACCACCCAAAAGCATGAATGCCAGTTTAACTGGTGACTCTAAACTGGTCACGGATATGAAGCAGAATGCAGTACTGTAGGACTACATGGTTAACCATGTGACTTACAGTTGCACCATATCAAAGACTCCGCTGACTAAACCCATGTGACTTTTTGACAGTCAGAGTTCCCTGAAAGGGAACAACCTGCAACATTTTCATCATTTATTCGCTTCCATTTAAAAGTAAGTTTGGCAAAAACCCACTAAAGTATCAAAACTGAAAGCACATCGAGCAGCAGTAAGCAGAAAGTCCCCCGTCCCGCCCAGGAGCCACGAGAAAAACAAAATTCCTCCCGAAGACGCCCACATGCTCTGTGTGCATGCCCCACGCATGAACAAGGACTCCAACCAATCACAGAACACTTAGCAACAGGCTTCAGCCAATCAGTCCTCAAGTTTTGGGGGAAACAGAGAAGACTTTTTTCTCGTGTGTTTGTCTCTGTGAACAGACAGAAAGAAGGAAACTCGTCCGGTTTCTGAGAAGCAACTTTTGTGTCAGTTCAGTTCAAACAGCAGCAAAACACCAACTTCAGCCACTTTTCTCCTTCAGTGGTCACTTCTCTCTTTGTTTCTCTGCCTTTGCACAACCACACTCCCCTTTCCTGAAACAGACTGAAGGCCGAGTTCTGTTCAGTTACTTCTGTTGTCACACTTCCATATGGAAAACTGGGAAAAACATGAAGCTGCTTGAACATCATTCCTGTCTAAAACAATAAGAAGGCCTAATGACTTGTCCTGTTAACCACTGCAGTCTGTTTTTGGATACACAGCGGATACGTCGGCTCGAGGTTACGTCGGCGTGCAGACTCCTGAGCTCGCCTGTGTCACAGGCATCATAAATGGAGGCTTTACAGAGGCAGCTTTTACAGTTAAAGGCTTTTTTGGAAGAGCCTCAGCAATCAGTGTTTATTTGAGGCAGCTGTATCACGATGTCCCGCTCATGACTAGACTTGCTCAGTAAGCAAACTGAACTTCCTGTGGTGAATCACCGTCTCCGCTGAGAGAAAAATGGGCGGATGAGGAAATAGTGATCGGGTGGAGACCGGCGGGAGTGTCTGTGTACTTGTGCTGCTGGTATTTTGTGAGTGTCTTGGTGGGTGTGAACACGCAGCTCGTGAATGCTAGCCTTTATTCAGTCAGACAGGGGGCAAGTGCTCTGGCCTCTCAGCCAATCACAGCTGGTGTCTGGGGATGGACCGAGGCGTGATGACATGATGGTGTAGCTGCCCGCAAACACACATGCCTGGAACATGAGAACATTTCTCATCAGCCTCACTTCATCTCTCAGAGTGAAACCCAAAAATGAGCCACGATGCAAAAGTCTGGAGATTTATTATCATTAGTTTTATTTATTTTTATGACTATGAAGGATCTCCTGAAGGGTTCGGCACCGCCAGCCCCAATCTTTATTGTTGTTATTAAGTTGTTGCAAAGTCTCCGTCTGTGTCTCTGAGCTTCTGCACTGGAACCACAATGGAGGTCGAACAGGCCTGCAGGGTCGGCGTCTTCCTCTTCTCGCCTTAAAGACAAATGTTAGCCTCAGTGAGACGAGATGGGAGGAGCCTGTTTTTGAAGAAGTCATTAGAAAGAGAGAATAGAGGGAGTTCCTGTAGGCCTGGTCAGGGGTCAATAAATCAACTTGTTCCGATCTGCCACACCCGGCCTTTCTCACTGTTGACTCATTTGAGATAATCTGTAGCACTGAGGCGTTTATCCTACTAAACAAACTTCCAGTTAAAAACTCATCCAGGGACAAGTCCGGAATAAAGAGCTCAAATCTTTATATGATTTTATTATTAAGCTTTTGCAAAACAAGGTGTCATTAGAGTAAAAGGCCTTATCTGCACAACACCAAAGACCCACACGGTGCTTTTAATGGCACAGCCTGCCAGCAATGTAGCAATCAGCTGATAACACCTCAGTGTCCCCAGCAGGAAACCTCCAACTCCAAATAAGTGTGATTCAGAGCTCATATCTCAGAATCAAGTTTAAACTAGAGCCTTCATCTAAAACCAACCAGGACAGAAGAAAGCACCTGCTGCCCTCACTTTGGTCTCCTGGGTCCTAAAACCTTTCAGGGTTTCCCAAACTGCAGAATCAAGAGTACCAAGTATGAAAAATCAGTCGGCCTGAGATGTACAGGCGACTGATACTGATGGGAAACCCAGTTAGTTTCCTGTGTTCATGGCCTTGATAAGTGCGGCCTTTTTAGTAACAACATAATGTCTGCCTTTAAAGACTGACCCACAGCCTGGACACAGATAATTAGTCATTTTCAGGGATTTAAAGGTGTCCCGTGTGGAGGTGGACGTTGACCTGCTACTGATCGTGCATGTCATCCCTGGCTGCAAATATCAGAGTGTGAATGTTAGACAGGAAGCACTTAAGCATAGAAAAAAACAAGTGCTCGTACGAATGAATGTGAATGTTGTATGTTTGAGTTCTCTGGGAAAGTAGAAAGGTGCTGTCATCAGCCCATTTACCAGACGTTAGCCCCAGCGAGGTCACCTGAGGCAGGGGTGGAGATCTGAAGACTGCACTGCAGGCGACTCAACGCTGGTGGTGTAAGTCCCAACCAGCTGTCAGCTGTATGAGGCGAGTCACCTACATTTGTGCTCGGGCTGCCCAATTAACTAATTAAAATAAAACATATATTTTGCTTAAAGGTAACAAATTGACAAAATAAAATGCATTTAAAAATTGGACTAAATTTTTTATCTTTTTTAGTCTAAACCATATGAAGTTAAATATATCACGTGTTTCTTTAATAAAACATGTCTGTTAACACCTGAATTAAAATACATTGGCAAAGACAGAAAATATACATATGAACGAGAATGTAACAGGGAGCATGTGTGGCTGGTGTAACGTGGAAAACTTGGAAAAAATTGTTGTAGCATAATAACTTTTTTTAAACTCATCTTACTACGTTTAGATGAAACGGGATAGTGGGAATGAGCCACCCGTTCTACAGGGAAAAGGTTGTGGAGACACGGATCACTGGTTATACTGTATGTTTGGATCCGATGATCCAAAACAGTCCTTTGTTTCGTGAAACTGGTTTGTGTTTTGAGAAAAGTTTCAGCAAAGGTTCCAAAAGCTGGATACACGTCAAGTCCGAAAAAGGTTTTCCAGTTTAAAAGAAAAAGAAATGTGTGTTTGATACGAGTTTCAGTGAAAAGTGTTTCCTGGTGGTTTTCTTTCTTTATTATTGTTTTAATAATGATATTAAAATATTAATAAAGTCATTCTTCTTGCAGCCTAAAAGCAGTTTGCCGATCACCCTCATACACGAGGCTGGTTTGTACTTTCCCTGTTATGAAGTTTATATCCACAGTTTCATATTTCTAATATCAAACTGTGTTTATCAGTGTTTGCCAAATGTGGGAAGTTCACTTGGCTGAAAGTCAAGCTGTGAACTTTTAATAACAATTATACTCCAGTAGTCATTTCCCAGGGAGAGGAAAAGAGCAGAGGAAGTTTCACTGCCTCCGAGAAGCTTAAACATGACTTTTCGTCGTTTGCCATTGGTTGGCTGTGAAGCAGCAGATGAGCTGAGCCTGTCTTAGATAAACAAACTTTGCTTATCTGTTGCTCGCAATAGCTTCTGACGCACGTAGTATAGAGTGGAGGACATCATTTAAAAGTGTGAGAAAAATATTTTCAATGCAATTCAGTTTTATTTACACAGAAACC